GCAGCAGGCAAGTGACCATCACCACCTGAGCTCCGCCTCCTGTCAGATCAGCAATGGCATTAGATTTTCATAGGAGAATCTATCGTAAACTGCACGTGCAAGTTTTTAGCCAGGCGCGGTGGCTCACGCCTGTAATCCCAGCACTTTGGGAGGCCGAGGCGGGTGGATCACGAGGTCAAGAGATCGAGACCATCCTGGTCAACATGGTGAAACCCCGTCTCTACTAAAAATAAAAAAAATTAGCTGGGCATGGTAGCACGTGCCTGTAATCCCACCTACTCAGGAGGCTAAGGCAGGAGAATTGCCTGAACCCAGGAGGCGGAGGTTGCGGTGAGCCCAGATCGCACCATTGCACTCCAGCCTGGGTAACAAGAGCGAAACTCCGTCTCAAAAAAAAAAAAAAAAAAAGAAGAGCAAGAGATGAAGTCAGACAGGCAACAGGGGCTGGGCTTTGAGCTTTTATCCTGAGGAAGATGGGGGACTTTGAACAGAACCAGGATGTGAGTAGATTGCCAATCTAATAGGAATACCCCAGCTGCTATGAATAAACTAAAGAGGGGCAGTAAGAATGAAAGCAGGGAGACCCGTTAGGGAACTCTTGTTATAGTCCAGGTAAGAGATGATGGATAATGGGGAGTTGGACTAGGAGACAGTTGAAAATTGATAAGATAGGGTCAGATACTGGATATATTCTGAAGGGGTTGTGTTTCTACCATCCACCCAGGTTCTTAGGCCAAAAATCTCAGTCTCATCCTTGATCCTTCCCTTTTCCTCATATCCCATATCTGATCCATCAGCAAGTCCTTGTGGTTCTATTTCCAAAATGTGCCAAAGTCACAGTTCCTGTTCATCTTTACCACCCCCACATGTCAGCTAAACCACCTGGGTTTACGTCTTACCCGGATCACTGCAATACCCTCTTACCCGATCTCACTCTCACCCGGATCACTGCAATACCCTCTCACCTGATCTCGCTCTCACCCGGATCACTGCAATACCCTTTCACCCGATCTCGCTCTCACCCGGATCACTGCAATACCCTCTCACCCGATCTCGCTCTCACCCGGATCACTGCAATACCCTCTTACCCGATCTCACTCTCACCCGGATCACTGCAATACCCTCTCACCCGATCTCGCTCTCACCCGGATCACTGCAATACCCTCTCACCTGATCTCGCTCTCACCCGGATCACTGCAATACTCTCTCACCTAATCTCACTGCTTCCTTTTTTGCCCCCTGGGATCTACTCTTTACAAGCTGCCGGAGGGATCATTTTTAAGCTTAAATCATATCATAGGATGCCCCTGCTTGTGATCCTTAAAGAGCTTTGCAATGAACTAAGAATACAGGCCAAAATCCAAACTGAGAACTACACAGGCTGGCATGGGCTGCCCTCTGATGACTTCTCTGTTTTCAACTCTTTCCCTCTTTCTCATGATCGCCCTGCTCCAGCCACATAAGGCTCCTTCCTGTTCCTCAAACACCAAACTCCTTCCTGCTTTGGAGCCAGAGCTTTCTCCTCTGGTGGGGTCAGTGTACCCCAGCTTGTTGCATGACTGGTCACCTATCAACCATCAAATATCAGCTCAATCATCACCTCTTCATAGAAGACCATCCTGAGAACTTTCATGTAGCGCAGATACTATACTATATATACTAACTATAGCTAGTACAGTCCACCACACTGTGTAAACAGAAAGCTCACAATCTTGAGCAGGAAGCTGCCCTTTAGAAATCCCTGTATCCATACTACAAGGATGTCCAGGTCTCTTTTTATCCAATAGTAGGGAGGACTGAGGACCAGAGGGGAAGTTTGAGTCTCCAGACACCAAACAGGAGATGATGGTGACCACCACCTTTCCCTCGTGACGTCTTGTGGGAGGGAATTACCTCAGGCAGCTGGGAGCCAAGAGTTTTCCTTTCTCCTCTCTCACTCAAGAAGTTATGGCTCGGTGCAGTGGCTCACACCTGTAATCCAGCATTTCGGTAGGCCGAGGCAGTGGATCATTTGAGGCCAGGAGTTCGAGACAAGCCTGGCCAACATGGCGAAACCCGATCTCTACTAAAAATACAAAAATTAGCCGGGTGTGATGGCAGGCACCTTTAATTCCAGCTACTTGTGAGGCTGAGGCAGGAGAATCACTTGAATCCAGGAGGTGGAGGTTACAGAGAGCCAAGATTGTGCCACTGTACTCCAGCCTGGGTGACAGAGCAAGACTCTGCCTCAAAATCAATCATGCTCTCCTCCCGCCACCCAAGATGCCGAAAGGAAAGAAGGCCAAGGGAAAGAAGGTGGCTTCGGCCCCGGCTGCCGTGAAGAAGCAGGAGGCCAGTAAAGTGGTGAATCCTGTTTGAGAAACGGCCTAAGAATTTTGGCACTGGACAGGACATCCAGCCCCAAAGAGACCTCACCCACTTTGTGAAATGGCCCCACTCTATCAGGTTGCAGCAGCAGCAAGCCATCCTCTATAAAGTGCCTCCTGTGATTAACCAGTTCACCCAGGCCCTGGCCCACCAAAGAGCTACTCAGCTGCTTAAGCTGCCCACAAATACAGACCAGATACAAAGCAAGAGAAGAAGCAGAGGCTGTTGGCCTAGGCCAAGAAGAAAGCTGCTGGCAAAGGGCACGTCCCCACTAAGAGACCACCTGTCCTTCGAGCAGGAGTTAACACCGTCACCACCTTGTGTAGAACAAGAAAGTTCAGCCGGTGGTGACTGCATACGACGTGGATCCCACTGAGCTGGTTGTCTTCTTGCCTGCCCTGTGCAAAATGGGAGTCCCTTACTGCATTATCAAAGGGAAGGCAAGACTGGGACGTCTAGTCCACAGGAAAACCTGCACCACTGTTGCCTTCACACAGGTTAACTCAGAAGACAAAGGTGCTTTGGCTAAGCTGGTAGAAACTATCAGGACCAATTACAACGACAGATATGAAAAGATCCACCATTACTGGGGTGGCAATGTCCTGGGTCCCAAGTCTGTGGCTTGCATCGCCAAGCTTGAAAAGGCAAAGGCTAAAGAACTTGCCACTAAAACTGGGTTAAATGTACACTGTTGAGTTTTCTGTACATAAAAACAATAAAATACAAAAAATCAATCAATAAATAAAAAGAAGTTGTGTAGCACCTTTTTTTCCTCCCCATTGTAAAATATGGCTAGGCATGGTGGCTCACTCCTGTAATCCCAGCACTTTGGGAGGCTGAGGTGGGTGGATCATTTGAGGTCAGGAGTTTGCGACCAGCCCGGCCAACATGATGAAACCTCCTCTATTAAAAACACAAAAATTAGCCAAGCATGGTGGTGCATGCCTGCAATCCTAGCTACATGCGATTCAGGAGAATCGCTTGAACCCAGGAGGTACAGGTTGCAGTGAGCCGAGATCACACCATTGCACTCCAGCCTCAGTGAGAGAGGAAGGCTCTGACTCAAAAAAAAAAAAAAAAAAAAAAAAAAAGGCTGGGGGGGCGCTCACGCCTGTAATCCCAACACTTTGGGAGGCCGAGGCGGATGGATCACAAGGTCAGGAGTTCGAGACCAGCCTGCCCAAGATGGTAAAACCTCGTCTTTACTAAAATTACAAAAATTAGCTGGGCACGGTGGCGCGTGCCTGTAATCCCAGCTACTCGGGAAGCTGAGTCAGGAGACCCGGGAGGCGGAGGTTGCACTGAGCCGAGATCACACCACTGCACACTAGCCTGGGCGACAGCGAAAGACTCTGTCTCAAAAAAAAAAGTGCCACGCATAGAAAAATTGGAAAATAATTAGAGAAAAAAACTACCCCAACCACTTGGGTATAAAATATGTTAACACTCTGGTGCATTTCCTTCAACTGTCTTTTCTTCTATATGTTTTTAATAGTTATGAATTCATATATATTTAATACTAATAACAATATTATTAATGTTCTATGTAATCACTTTTTAATGCAAATTATTTCATTGGTTTTCTGATATTTTCACAAGTTTACATAATACATTTAATCAAGTGCTTGTTAAAAAATAAAACTCACAATCTTTCATGGGAGTTAAAATAAGTATGTACTCATTAAGCAACTCCACAGATCAGTAAAGGAGGTGGGCACTCTTGAAGCAGAGGGCCATCGTATACCTTCAGGGCCAGAAAGGCCAGTCTCTCATTTGGCACTTGAATTCCCTGGCAATGTCCATGTGATGTGTGCTTGACACCTCTGCTGGACAGCTTTGGAACTGAATCTTATTCTGAGCTGAAGTGTGTTTCTCTATAGCTGCTACACTTTAGTGCCTCAAAAAGGAAGCATAAAACAAACAGAATTCCTCTTTTAGACAACAGCCCTAGTCTTCCGGGGCATCTTTCACAGCCCGAAATTCCCAATTTTTCCAACAGGCCCGTTCTCCCATCCCAAGATTCCTTCCAAGGCACTCTCCTCTGAAGGTGCTTCCACTGGTTTTCTCTCTTACCTTCCGGCGACCACAAGTGGCCCCAGCAGTCCAGGTGGGGTCGGGCTGACGGGACCAAGTAGACACCGCTCCTTTTCGCAGGGTCTTTTCCTTCTTAGCAAAGCGGCCCACCATCCTCCATCCGCTCCTCAGATAGCCTCCCTGCTCTTTCTGTCCGCCACATCTCCCTGGCTACACTACCTCTCCGTCTAGTGCCTAACAGGTAGGCCTGACAGAATAGTTTCTCAAAAGGCGCTGGAAGAGTCAAACAATGCATAATTCTTGCTGTGCAACCCTCAGACTGCCACACCTCGTGGGAATTGGAAGTCGAAATCCAGTCCGCGGTCCCACCCTCCCGGCGTTGTTGCTTCAATTAGCCCCACTCAGTCTCAACCTAAGTAAGTCTCGCCTTTCCCTTTTCTCGCCACCCCTTCGATCCGTGTTACCTCTCCGGTGCCTATATTCCCTAACGTTTCCCTATATGCTGTCCAAACTAGGAAAATCTTTACTTTCCGCTGTTACCAAAATATCTACACCTTCGGGATTATGGCCACGCCCCCTTCACGCACGCTGCCAAGACGAACCGGAAGAAATTGCCAGCCCCTGGTTCGTAAGCCGGAAGTAGACGTACCTCACGGAAGCCGGCTTTGGCCCTGCGGCTGCTACCGTCGCCGCGGAGAAATTGTTGGAGCTGGCAGTCTAGGAATGGTGAGACCTCGCGGTTCGCCTTTAAGGGTTCTTAGAGGAGTTGGGGGTGAAATGGAGTTTTCCAGAGTGCCGCCAGGGACGACCCCCCCAGGTTTGGGGCCCCGCCCCAGTGGCGCCCCGAAAAGCTGCGCATGCGTGGGCCGGACAGGATTAGAACCTAGCTCGAGGTGTTACGCATGCGCAAAGGCAAGGAGCGTGTGGGGTGAGAATGGGCTTTCGAGTTGACCCCTACCTCCCCAGCCACGAGCCTGTGGGTCTCGAACCAAGGCTACTAGGTGCTCTGCTTTGAGTTGTGGAGGTGACTTCATCACTACTCCTACTCCGAGTTCTTGCGACAGACCTGGACTGATCCCCCACCTTAGGTGTGCACTCAGGGGAGAACGAGGGGCGGAGGGCCAGGAAAGGAAGGGGGCACAGACCCCACCTCAGTTTGCCAGCAAGCTCGGGCCCCTTCGCCTTCTCAGATAACAGGATTCCCAGCCGTAGCCGATGGAGCGGAGAGCGACAGGCTCACCTGGGGAGCCTCTTAGCGCACGCCTAGAACATTGCTCTAAGAGCCACCCTGGTCAGAAGGAGCCGGGACCCATGAGAGGAGCGCCCCGAGAAAATCCAATATCTGGGTTCTCCAGGGGTTATGGAGGCATAGGGTAGTTGATAATCACGCAGTTCCCAAACAGTGGTTTTTGGATACACGAGATGGTATCTCATGGAAATACCACGAACTAAATCTTCAGTAAAAACCTCAGGTAAAAAGTCAACAACAACAACAACAACAAAACCAACAAGATGAACTGGTTGGAGTTTTGGCTCCCTTTCCTTTTCCCTGCTTGGGCCTGGGAGGGGGAGGCTGGTGCTGTTGAGCTGAGTGGGCAGCTGAAGTAAAGAAAGAGTGGGCAAAAAAAAAAAAAAAAGAAAAGAAAGAGTGGGCTAAAGAATCCCTTGTCTCTTACTAGTTTATAGTCAAGGCCCTTAACGAGATACCAGTGGAATTAGAGGGTCCGTGAACCCCATAAAATAGTATATGTTTGCACCCTTTTCTGGAGTTCATAGCTTTTGTCATACTCTCAAAGGTGCCAGTGACCTTCACAAGAGTGATGTATATTGGCTAATATTGGCAGAGGAGGGCCTTAACGCCTCTTTCCTCTCCTTGTGTCTTGGCTTATGGGACCCTGAGGGACCTCAGCCAGTATAAGGAAGTGAGGCTTGCCAGTTGGAAATCTGAGCCTCAGGGAGCCTCATTTCTCTTTTGCAGAATCTCCTCTCAGCCTTTAAGCTCACCTGGTCAGAATTCTTGGATGAACCTGTGGGACCCTTCCTCCTAGCCCCGTGGTTTGGAACCAGTGGCTCTGGGACTGTAAGAGGATGGACAAAGGTAGTATGAGGCTGGGACAGCTCCCCAAATGCCCAGGTGCCAAGCATCTGCTGATTCCACCCTGTGCCTGGCATGTGTGTCTTTCGGTCCTGGCTAGGCCTTGCCACCTCCCCCTGGGCCAGCACCACCCATGTACCTGTCGGCAGAGCCACAATTGACTGACTTGCTGTTGAGCTGCTGCTCTTTGGCATGGCTGCATTTTGATGGCAGAGGGAGCAGTTATGCCCAGAGCCCAGTGTGTCGGCATCACCAGTCTGACCTGAGCACCATGTGCTGCACGACATGACACGTGGCACCGGGGGAACTGCCCAGCGTGGAAGGTCTGGGCCAGGTCTGAGCCCAGATGGGATCTGGATGGCCAAGGAACTCTACCTTAAAACCTCAAATATCCAGAGGCAGGGGAGGGACCAAGAGGGCTGGCAGGGGAAGGGGGCTGGGAGGGGTCCCATCTGCAGAGGCTGTAGGCTCTTGGGAGGCCTGAATCCACCATTTCTCTCTTTCCAGATTCTCAGGGGCTGCTAGATTCATCCCTGATGGCATCAGGCACTGCCAGCCGCTCAGAGGATGAGGAGTCACTGGCAGGGCAGAAGCGAGCCTCCTCCCAGGCCTTGGGCACCATCCCTAAACGGAGAAGCTCCTCCAGGTAGTAAGGGTTCGAAGGGCCAGGAACTGGGAAGGGATAGAAGGTCTGTGGCGTTAAGTGCCACATGCCTCCACCTCTGTTGGGAATGACTGCCTGAGCGCCTCTGGGACCTTAGTATTGGCAGAGCCTTGTGCTTTTCCTGTCCCTGCTAAATCCTTTTGGGGCAGGGGAGGCAGATCTTAGATCTCTGACATGAAGTCTTTGTGGTGTGATCCCCTGTCGTCTCAGAGGGCTGGAATGTAGTAGTTCTATGGCCGCTGAGCCAGGCTGTGGTGTAAAGTGAAAGCAGGCTGGAGCAGTTAGCACCCTGCTGGGCACGTGCTGTGTTTTGGGGGCTGGGTGTGAATGGGCACCAGGGTTGGGTAAGGAGTGTTCACTGGGCAGGACCCTTTACAGGTTCATCAAGAGGAAGAAGTTCGATGATGAGCTGGTGGAGAGCAGCCTGGCAAAGTCCTCTACCCGGGCAAAGGGGGCCAGTGGCGTGGAACCAGGGCGCTGTTCGGGGAGTGAACCCTCCTCCAGTGAGAAGAAGAAGGTGAGGAATTGGGAGATTTAGGGGATGGGAGGTAGTGCCAGATTTCATGTTTCCCCAGAACCTTTGCCAGCTGCCAAGAGCCCTGCAGAGGAGGCTGGTGAGATGACCAAGCTGCCTCAGCCCTCATCTCAGATGCCTCTTTCCTGGGAACCCATCTCTCACTACTCCCCATTTCTTGCTGCAGCCCCCACCCCCAACCCTGCCAATGCATCCTGTATCACATTCCGTGTGGGAGGCTTGGAGCATACATCTATTCTGGGAGCAGACAGCCTGTTCCCAGCATTTCAGAGTGTAAAAATAACTCCCAGGTGGCATTGCTGTGGCCCTAGACACTGCACCAGCAAGAGTGATTTCCCGGTATCCTCTCCACCCACCTTTCACTCTGGGGTTAGGGGTACCCCCAGCAAAGAGAAGACCTGCTGTGGTCAAGGACTATGTGGAAGTAACTTGGTGGGATCGGGCTGGGGTTGGTGCTGGGGCTGCCGCTGCCACAGAGTATGTGAAACTCTAGTCATGAAGCCCCAGCTGACTGGATGCCGGCTTTGAGCTTGGTTTATTCCTATTCTCTGCCCAGGTATCCAAAGCCCCCAGCACTCCTGTGCCACCCAGCCCAGCCCCAGCCCCTGGACTCACCAAGCGTGTGAAGAAGAGTAAACAGCCACTTCAGGTGACCAAGGATCTGGGCCGCTGGAAGCCTGCAGATGACCTCCTGCTTATCAATGCTGTACTGCAGGTAGTGCCTCCCACCATAGGCCTAGTGTCCCCCTTTTCCCGCAGCCTCCAGTTCCCAGCCCCAACACTAGCCCAACAGGGCACTGTGGGTGGCAACGAAGGGTTCTTCCCAGCTCCAAGGCTGAAGCAAACCCTCTGGGGCCTTGCAGACCAACGACCTGACATCTGTCCATCTGGGCGTGAAGTTCAGCTGCCGCTTCACCCTTCGGGAAGTCCAGGAGCGCTGGTATGCTCTGCTCTACGATCCTGTCATCTCCAAGTGAGTGGTAGCTGGTTCCAGCAGTGGGGAGGTACTAGGGACACCAGAATCTGGGTCCTGGAGCAGAGGGAACTGTGGCAAGGCCCCAGGAGGGGTGTGGGAGGCAGGACTCCTGGAGGCTCCTTGGGGTGATACTGAGCCCTGAGAGGGTTCAAAAAGAGGTTTCTTCCTGCCTCCGGGCCTAGGAGTCTGAAGGCAGAGGGAGGAGCATGGGAGAGAAGACTAAAATGAGTGCCAGGAGCTCACTGTGTGCATTGTGGCTTTGGATGGGTCACCTCCTAGCCTTTCCACACTGACCTCCTACAGTTTCTTCCTCCTAACAAGGGGGAGTTGAATAAAAGAACGCCAAGCCCCCTTCTAGCTCCAGTAGCCAGGCTTCCAAATAAACTCATGTACACATGCAACACACACTTCCTCCTCCTCAGCCACTTAGTTTAATGTCTTCAGAGCTTGGTTGGATGCTAAACACCCATCTTCTCCACAGACCCTGGAACCACTTAAGTTGTAGCCACAGTTCTGATATACCAGGAAATGGGCTAGGCCCAGCTTGGAAAGAGGAGGTGGTAGGTAGTGGCTAGAGGGTGGCTAAGTAAGGAGGAAGGAGTTGGAGGGAGCAGCAGCTGGTCCAAGGCTCTGCCTCAGGACTGGGTCTGCTGGGGGACATGGGAGCCACCGTTTTCTGAGTTGGCTGTTCATTCACTTGACAGGCCTGCGGAGCCACAGGTCATCTGCTAAACCTGAGGCCCTTCCTATTGAGGACCTGGCCTCTAGGTTCTGGATGTCAAAGGCCTGCAGGTTCAGGGGAAATAGAAACTGCAGATTGCTTGACACCCTTCCTTCAGCCCTCCCCTCTGTATCTTCCTGTGTCCAGGCTGGCCTGTCAGGCCATGAGGCAGCTGCACCCAGAGGCTATTGCAGCCATCCAGAGCAAAGCCCTTTTCAGCAAGGCTGAGGAGCAACTGCTGAGCAAAGTGGGATCGGTAAGGCTGAGGGTTGGGAAGGGTGGAGGATCAGGGCACAGGGAGAGCTGGACCACCTAGAAAACCACTGATGTGGGGAGCTTCCCACCCACTGTCTGGATGTGTGCACATGCAGACTCGTGCACATCTGCAGGGGCCTTTGTGACAGAGGCCTCAGGAGGAGCCAAGCCTGACTCCCTGGTTGACTGTCTTGCTTCTTCCAGCTCCTTAGGGATGCTGGGGTAAAAGGTAGAGATGGTAAAGCAGAAATATGTGTGAAAAAGCCCAGATGCCTAGAGAATGTTTCTTGCCCTCCAGACCAGCCAGCCCACCTTGGAGACCTTCCAGGACCTGCTGCACAGACACCCTGATGCCTTCTGCTTGGCCCGTACCGCCAAGGCCCTACAGGCCCACTGGCAGCTCATGAAGCAGTATTACCTGCTGGAGGACCAGACAGGTAACGTCACAGGAGCTGGCAGAACGGGGTGTGTGCCAGCTGTCTGTCTCAAGTACTGTGGACACAGCTGCCTTCAAGTGCCCTATAAGAAATTCCTCAGTGACCTGCAGTGTCTTGTTCACCTCACTTTGCAACAAAAACTACTTTCCAGAGGGAGAGAAAGTGGCTGGAAGTGCCTTCAGCATCATGGTAAGAGTAGCCAACATTGCCTGGAATCTTGGGCAAAAAGTCCAGATAGTGGAGTTATCTACCACTTCTTGTCTTTTGTTTTTTTATGATATATTTATTCTTACATAAGTAACACATTAACATATTTTTTATGGATAACATTCAAACATGAGCAAAATAGGAAAGTCTACTTCCCTGCCACCCTTCGCTTTGTTTTCCACTCTAGAGGTAATAGTGACTTTTTTGAGCTTTTCTGCCCTTTGCCTCTCTCTCTTCTTCCTTCTGTCTTCTTCCTTTTCTGTTCCCAGTAGGCAGTCAGTGCTGTGGAGCGGCCCTCAGGCCATTCATAAATCCCCACTGGGACTTCACACCTAGTCTCTCTGTCTCTCCCTTTCCCCAAGGGCCACACTGCTCCCTGCTTCCTCTTTCCTCACCAGCAGAGCACTCACTCTCCTGGTGGCAGGAGAAGGAAAGCAGTGTGATGAAATTGGAGGAACTCCCCAGTGAGGTCTGTGATTCGGGTTCTGATTTCCATAGTACAAGTGCATGCTCACTTTCTGAAAGTACTGCCTATTGCTTGCTTTTTTTTTTTTTTTTTTTGAAATGGAGTTTCACTCTTGTTACCCAGGCTGAAGTGCAATGGCGCGATCTCGGCTCACTGCAGCCTCCGCCTCCTGAGCTCAAGCAATTCTCCTACCTCAGCCTCCTGAGTAGCTGGGACTACAGGCACGCGCCACCATGCCCAGCTAATTTTTGTATTTTTAGTAGAGACGGGGTTTCACCTTGTTGACCAGGATGGTCTCAATCTCTTGACCTCATGATCCCGGCCTCCCAAAGTGCTGGGATTACAGGCTTGAGCCACTGCGCCCGGCCCTGCCCATTGCTTTCTACATAGTTTTTCACACAGTTCGAACTTGAAGCTTCAGTAGTACCCATCACCTTACTACCAGGGGTCCTGGTAGAAGTTTCTGCTTAGGAAAAAGTATTCCTGCAGGAGCATTTTAGGAAATCTCATCAGAGGGTGGCCCCATTTTCCATTCCTAAGGGCCTCTGGTTTTAGTGGCCCAGGGAGCAGTCCTCTTTATTCCTGCAGCTTCCAAAATTCTGCCTCTTCCTCAGACTCAGTTATCACAGAGAGATTAATTCCCACAGAGAGAATAGATACTGACTGGATAACTTATTTTTGCTGCTAAAGGTAGCTTCTTTGTCACTATTTTTAAAGTTATTTTGTATAAATTTATTGTTAACTAAAAGTCTTATCATGAAAGTTTTATTTATTCAAGTTTTTATATATGGGGATTTGATTTCTCCTTTGACCTTTAGAGCTAGGACCCCCTAGGAACAGGGCAGTACACATTGCCTAGCTGTCAAGTCAGCTGAACATGGGATTGGTGGAACTCAGGCAGCTCTAGTGGGGAGGGACTTGTTGGGGGTGATGGGCCCAATTCGCCCCCCAAAACAGTCTCACCTCAGGGAGGAAGAGGAGCATCTGTGCCCCATACACACTCCCCCTCACTTCCTCAGTAGACAGTTGCATGGCTACTAGCTGCTACAGAGTGCACCCTATAGTCCTGGGAACGGCTGGCTGAAAGGCAGAGGTTTTCAGATTTGAGGGGCCTTAATCCTTTTATTTTATTTTATTTTTAAGAGACAGGGTCTTGCTGTGTTGCCCAGCTGGACTTGAATTCTTGGCTTGCCTCAGGCTCCAAGTAGCTCTGTGGGCAAACACCACTGTGCCTAACTCCCTTTCACATTTTGGCCAGAAAAACGGAAAGATCTTCATGAAACAGTATTTATCCTGAGCATATCTGATGGGTTCTGGTGCTCATTATCCTATCCATGACCCATTAGCACATCATGACCGCAGATCGAGAGACATTGGCTTAAGGTGGGGCAGCACCTCATCAGCACATACTTTTCTCAGTGGAACCTGGCTGGCATGTACCTCCCAGCCCCTCATAGCATGGCAGGAAGTGCTGGAGAGCATATGATGTGATGGAAGGAGAGGTTGAGATTTTGAATTGAGAGAACAGGATCTGAATCCTGGCTCTGTCCCAAACTAGGGTCATGTAGTTTAACCCCCCTCCTGTGTCTGTTTCCTCACTTGTAAAATGGACCTAAAGGTAGTGCCTCCCCTGCTTAGTTCAAGGCTATGTAATCAAGCTGTTTACACACCAAGAAGCCCATACAAAAGGTCAATTTTAATTTCCTTCCCTTTCTAGAACCACCTGTACCCTCAGGTAAGTCTAAAGATGCTTTGTGCCCCATGAGAGCCCAGCCTAATCTGGTATGGACTCCCTCACTGGGGCTGGGCTCTCCACCGGGCGTAGTCGCAGTTGGCCCACTTGGCTCAGGGGTCCCTCAGCAGCGTGGGCTTCAGCAGGACCCTTGGTGCTCACGCTGCCTCTGTCCTTTGTTCAGTGCAGCCACTGCCCAAAGGGGACCAAGTGCTGAACTTCTCTGATGCAGAGGACCTGATTGATGACAATAAGCTCAAGTGAGTGGCTGGGGACACAGGAAGGGGTGGAGAGAGCTGTCTACTCCTGTCGGGTAGAGCGCCCCAGGCTGCCCAGCCCCAGCCCTCAGGCTCCTGTCATACCTATTGGTGTTTGGCCAATAGGTATGAAACATTCTCTAGGCATCTGGGCTGCTTGGAGGTATACTGGAGCATACCTCTAGGCCGCTTGGCTAAAGGGGCTCAGGGATGCCCTAATGAGCCAAGTAGCAGGCAGGCTAAAAATGGACCTAAATTTTCCTTCTCTTCTTGCCCCTCAGGGACATGCGAGATGAGGTCCTGGAACATGGTAAGTGTGGCCTGATGGGGCAGTGAGGGGATGGAAGCTCCTACCAGAATCAAGAGGACCAGTACAAGGTGCTGGTGGCCTCAGAGCACCCCTCCTTACCACCCGACCCCACCCCAGAGCTGATGGTGGCTGACCGGCGCCAGAAGCGAGAGATTCGGCAACTGGAACAAGAACTGCATAAGTGGCAGGTGCTAGTGGACAGCATCACAGGTGAGGAGGATAGGGGACCAGAAGGTTCACTCTTCAACATCGTTCGCCCCAGCCTGTGCCTGGCTGCGACTCCCTTCCAGGCCCTGACTCCCTTCCCTTATTAACCTTTCCCTTGGTCCCTGCCTTCCATTCTGGCCTCGAGGGTAGGCTTTTCCAAATCCCCTTTTTCCCCAGGCATGAGCTCTCCGGACTTTGACAACCAGACACTGGCAGTGCTGCGGGGCCGCATGGTGCGGTACCTGATGCGCTCACGAGAGGTGAGGCAGCCCTCCCCATCCCCACCCTTCCTAGGCGTGCTTCCTCTGCCTCTGCCTTTCTCTGTGTTGTCCTTGCGTTCTCATCTTTCTCTGGCCTGCATAGACCTACTCCCCCCATTCTTCAGGTCCCAGCCCTCACCTGCCCCATTTCCCCAGATCACCCTGGGCAGAGCAACCAAGGATAACCAGATTGATGTGGACCTGTCTCTGGAGGGTCCTGCCTGGAAGATCTCCCGGAAGCAAGGTATCCCCTACCCCCTGCCTTAGCAAGAAACAGTGTGAGGATGTCACTCCTAGCCTCTTGCTGTCCTTTGTAGCCCTGGGGCTTGGTGTCCATGGGGACTCTCATGGCACACCTGGGGCAGGCTTTCCTTGGTGTCCGCAGGAAGCAGAGTCGGTCAGTGGAGCTCCTGGCTTGCTCTGGCCTCTCCCCATCCCATCATCCTTTTTTCCTTTCTACTTCCACAGGTGTCATCAAGCTGAAGAACAACGGTGATTTCTTCATTGCCAATGAGGGTCGACGGCCCATCTACATCGATGGACGGCCGGTGCTGTGTGGCTCCAAATGGCGCCTCAGCAACAACTCTGTGGTGGAGGTGAGCCGGGGAGGAGGCGGGAAGGCCAGGATGAGACCTGGGCATGGTGAGCCAGTATACCAGCCTGGCCCTGGTCCCCCCTCTGTCTTAAGCCACCTTTGTCTCCCACCCAGATCGCCAGCCTGCGATTCGTCTTCCTCATCAACCAGGACCTCATTGCCCTCATCAGGGCCGAGGCTGCCAAGATCACACCACAGTGAGGAGTGGTGGCAGGACCCCTGGGCCCTCTCTGGCCTGTTTCCCCTGCCACTCCAGCCCCCTTGAGCTGGGAACTCAGGCTCCTGGAAAAACCTGCCCAGAGTGGGCAGTGTGAGGCTCAGCTGCAGGCCCGTTGATTTGAGCCTTTGAGGGAGGATAGGGCTGGCCTTTGTGAATCCAGCAGAGGCTGAGACCCTCCCCCTCTTCCTCTCTCTAAAAACAACCCTACCCCCATTGCCACCTTCACTCCTGTGTCTCCAGCTGATTAGCTTCAGACTCTTCGTTTTTCTTTTGTAAATAAAAAGCACCAGGTTCCAAAGTAGTTTATTTTTTTTTAATATAAAAAATTGGGGACAGGTAGAGGCAGGGGCACATGCAGGGAATGGCAAAGCCCTTCCTTGTCCTCAGGCCTCTGCCCCCAGCCTGCAGAGGGAGACTGGGAAGTCAGAGGAGCAGGCTGAAGAGGGGCCTGGCCCAAGGCTCCAGCCCACCCTCTGAGAGTCAGGAACCAGGCCCTCCTTCCCTTCCAGGCTCCCTGCCCTGAGCCAGCGGGCAGCATGGAGTTCGTGGGGTGGCTGCCATCCTTCTTTCACTCTGAGGTTGGGCGGAACAGCAGATGGCAGCACGCCTGGCAACACTAAGTTCTAGGGCTGGTACTCAGACCCCTGTGCCTTCTTCCTGGGTCCATTGGACTGTGCCAGAGCCATGGCAGCCAATAAGCACCATCTCCAGGCTGTGGGGGTCCCAGGGCAAGGCCAGGCCCCCTGATCCTGGTGGGGGCTCTCCAGTGCTGGTAGCCTCAGCCTGGCTCACAGGCTCTGGGGGCCCAGTTCTACCCCCTTCCTCAGAAGGAGGAGGGGAGGCAGGGGTGCTGGGCTCAGAGCAGAGGTCTCCTGAGGCAGGGGGCTCTGAGTCTGAGGTGGAGGTCCAGAAAGCTGTGGCTCGAGGCCAGGGGGAGCTCTGAGACGCTGGTGGACCCCAGGGCCAGGGTGCCATGAGGGGAGGAGGCCCTGGACGAGGGTGGGGCCAAGTCCCACTCAAGACAGAGCCAGCTGGGGGCTGCAGGCAGTAGGAGGATGCCCCAGTATCCACACACAGAGGTTGCAGAAGCCCGGAGGTGCTAGCTGGGCATGGCCCTTCTCCTGATGCCCGAGGGCACGGGCCCTCCCTGTGGGGTGCCAGGACAAGCTGCACAGCCTGGCGAAGTGACTGCAGTCCTTCCCGCATTTGCAGCACTTGCTCGGACAGCTCCGTCACCTTCAGGGAGGGAGGAGGCGAGGTCAGAATGGAGTCAGCCATGGAGTGCCTGCCCCTAGCCCTCCACCGCTCACCTCCACCTTGCCCCTCACCCACCGCCTGCCGAAGCTTGTCCAATGTGTCTGTATTCCTTGCCTCGCTGGGCCCATGGGGGACAGTGAGCAGGCCGCTCTCTGTGGACAGTAGTAGGATGGGGTTATCAGCCAGGGCTAGTAAGAGGAGACAGGCAGTGTGGGGTCCAGGCCCCTGCCCCAGTTAGACCACATTGACCTGGGAGGACCTGACTCCACGGATCATCTCTTCTGGCCTTGCCAGAGGTGCTGGATCTTGCCTGAACTTCCAGGGGCAGGGAAAACACTGCCCAGCAGCCCTCAAGCCATACTGCCTAGCGCTCTCCTCCTCCTCAAAATCTTTTTGTCTGTCCCTTACTCTGTCCTCCAGGCAAATGGACATTCTGGGAGCTCATTACCTTGTTCACTTCCCTGACCTGGAGCCACTTTCATCCCTGGTTCCCCAGCCCTTTATCCCCCAGTTAGCCAGACATTGTGTTAAGGCTTTCAGCTACATTATATAGCACAAACAACCCATTTTACAGACAGGAAGCTGGGGCCAGAGAAGCCAAATTCACACTGTTGGAAAGCTGACAGAGGAAGGATATAAACCCAGTTCCTGGCTGCATCAAAATTAACGTGCTGGTCTTCACCACCAAACTCCCCTGCCTGCACGGCACAGAAGAGTGGTGGGGTGAGATGGCCTCCAGGCAACCTGCCAGCTTCTCTAACAGTGGCTCAGAGGCCAACAGTGCTTGAGGTTCACAAGGCAAAGGGGCTGCCCCACCAACCTAGCCCATCCCAGGGCTCTGGTACCTGGTCCAGGGGAGGGGCTGCTGCTACACTCCGGGCCAGACTGGCCCACACGGAAAGAGAACTTGGGCTGGTCAGAGCCACAGCCGTCTTCAATGCCATCCACTACCCTGTGAACCCAGGCACCAGAACAACAAATCAGTGGACAGGCAGCCACTGTGGGGTCACATGGGACGGGATACCACAGCATCCACACACACAGGCTGCAGGAGCGCGGAACTGACTGGGAAGCCAGGAGAAACCTACATGGGTCCCTTCCCCAAGGAGCTTGTGGTTTAGCTGGGGGCCAAGGTTGAGCAGCATGAGATGCCAAGAGTTGAGAGCAGCGTGTGCCATGTACCACACAGTGGAGTGGGGCAGCAGGAGAAAGGAGGAGCCACAAAAGGCTTCCTGGAGGAGGCAGGCTTGGCCCACATAGGCTGGCAGGAGTTAAGACAGCTCTAGATGGGTACCTAGGGCGGGGTGCACCTGCCCAGGGCCTCAGGCTCATCACCACCATCTCTGCCATGGGGGCCTAGGGCCTGCTTACCTGGGGCTCAGATCCGGGGGCACATTCCATGGCATGGGGGGCAGCCGTAGCCCCTCTAAGGCCCGTGGGGGAGCAGAGGAGCCAGCCTCAGCCTTCAAAGCCCCTGCCCTGCCTGATCTCCCTCTGCCACCTAGACGAGGCCGGGGTGCTGTTCGATGTGGGGATAGCAGCTTGGCAGCCGATGAGGAGGAGGTGCAGCCAGGAGACAGCAGGGGACTAGAGGGCTCATCAGCTGGGGCTGGGGAGACCGTGGGGCCCTGCTCCCCATCTGTCTCCTTCTCCTCCAACGTTGACATAAGGGTGTTGTCACCACTCAGGGAGCTGGTGTCCACCTAGGGAGAGTAGGGAATAGGAATTGGCATATATGGCCACTACTGTGTCCCACTCATCTCCCTTAACAAGACTTCATCTCCCCTGGAAGGGATGAGCTGTCTTTGTTAGAATAGCTGTCTGCCACCCTGCAGAAGAGGCTCAGTCAGGAGGGGTGACCTGCTTTTCTGCTGCTACCACAAAGCCACCAAGCCCTGAAGGTGTTAACTACCTTTCAAAATTCTAGCCACATTCAGACACACCACCCCTCTACCAGCTCCCTCAGCCTAACTAAACTATCCAAGAGAATAGGGCACTAAAAACTGGTTTGGAATTAGTGGCATAATCCAGGAAAATTCAAAAGCCCCTCAGAACAGCCCTGTTTCACCATGAAAAAGCAGAGGGGGCCACTGGGCTCCCTTCAGAAGCAACCTGGAGGGCTGGTGCCCGTCCCTGCCCTGCTCAGCCCTGACCCCCAGAGCCACGCCTCCCTGTGCCTGCACCGGTGCACTCACCTTCCTTCACTAAGATTCCTCTGGATTGGGCGAGGGTGCCTCAGGCCAAGGAGGGCCAGCAGGGGTGGCTGCGCATGCTGGGCTGGGTGCGTGGGTGTGGAAGGGCAGAGGGTGTAGACCCCTGCCCAAGGTGGGGGCTTTCATACCAGGCCACGCTCTACACACAGCTCTCCACCAGCCCCAGCCTCTGCCCACCTCACCAGGCTCCCTGGCACCTTCAACCCCTCCAAGCACGTACTCAGCCTCCTCACCTCTGCAGAGCCTCCCCCAGCACCCAGGTTGTAGCTGAGCTCCCCTCGGAGGCCACGGCTGAAGCGCGGGGCAAACTCAGGGTAGAGCGCAAGGCTGTCGTGCAGGCCGGCCAGCTGCAGACACTGCAGGACACAGTACGTCAGCCCCTTCACGTCGGCATTGGCCTTTACCACCTGCTCCCGCCGGGGCAGCTCACAGCCGATCAGGTCGCCCTTCCCTGGGGAAAGGAAGCAGAGCTCAGCAAGCCCTGAGCCTCAGCCAGGAGGAGAGAAGAGGGGCTGCAGGCTGCTGAGATTCCCTTCAGGGCTGGGCTGAGCCTCTGCGGCAGAAGCCTTGGAGCCAGCACAGAGACGAGCAAAGAGGCCTGGGCCATGGCCTGACGCCTGCAGCCTGTCTCACTGGCTCCCACATGGGCTTCGGGTAAAGAGGTCTGTGACACATGCCCTCAAACGCATTCAGAATCAAAAGTACTGTGCCGGAAACCCTGAATTTTAGCCCTGAGAGACTTCTAGTGGGGCTCAGCTGTTGATTAGAATCACCTGGAAAAATCAGACCAAACACCCAGGCCCCATCTCTACCCACAGTATCTATAGGAGACCCCTGGTCTGATTGTTTTTTAAGTCCCGCAGGTGATTCAGGTGTTTGGAAGCAGCAGATTAGAGCCCCGTGTGCCACAGTGAAAATGCAAGGCAGCCAGGCTCACCTTCCTGAGCCCTAGCTGCTTCCACTCTACAACAGACGCTGCATTTAACTGAGTCTAGGGAATATTCCTGATCTCACCAGAAGGGGTCAATGGAGGTTTTCCCACAGCCAGGTTAAGACTGCCACCTGGCTGGCAGCAAGTATTAAATGGCATCAATTAGAGCCTGAGGCCTAATCTCAGAGATGTTAGCCTGGGTGGGGCAGCAGGGGTGGGGTGGGTGAGATGTGTGTCTTAGAATCAATGAAATAGGGTGTGTCTGTCCAGGGACAGGTTGAGGCTAAATTAGAGTTAACGTAGATAAAGTGCCTCACACAAAGATGACCAAAAAAAGATCATTTGCTTCCTTTTCCTTCCAGATAGAACCCCCTATAAATTGTTCCCACCAGGTGCAGTGACTCCCAACACTTTGGGAAGCCAAGGCAGCTGATCACTTGAGCTCAGGAGTTTGAGACCAGCCTGGGCAACATGGCAAAATCCCGTCTCTACATAAAAAAAAAAGTTTTTTTTAGATCGGTGTGGTGGTGTTCCTGGACAGACACACCCTATTTTATTGTTTCTAAGACACACATCTCACCCAACCCACCCCTGCCGCCCCACCTAGGCTAACATCTCCGAGATTATGCCTCAGGCACCTGTAGTTCCAGCTACTCTGGAGACTGAGGTGGAAGGATCACTTGAGCCCAGAAGGTTGAAGCTGCAGTAAGCTGAGATCACACCACCACACTCCAGCCTGGGCAACAGCGTGAGACCTGATCTCAAAAAAAAAAAAAAAATCCTTTCCAGCAGGGATAGGCATGCAGTCTGGGCTTGGGCAGAGCACTCACTACCCTCAAGGCAGCTCAACCACCACCAGGCAGTTCAGACTGTTAAAAGTGTTTCAAAAAGGATGGCTCTCCCGTGGACGCCCTCATACCACCAGCAGCGCACATTGAGCTTAGATCTCCTCTACATGTTCCTGGACTTTTGCTCCAACTTGAGTATAGAATGCACCCCTGTTAGGCTGGGTGCAGTGGCTCATGCCTGTAATCCCAGTACTTTGGGAGGCTGAGGTGGGTGGATCACTTGAAGTCAGGAGTTCGAGACAATCCTGACCAACATGGTGAAACCCCGTCTCTACTAAAAATACAAAAATTAGCTGGGCATGGTGGTGCATGCCTGTAGTCCCAGCTACTTGAGAGGCTGAGGAGGGAGAATCACTTGAACCCAGAAGGCAGAGGTTGTAGTGAGCCAAGATCATACCATTTCACTCCAACCTGGGCAACAACAGCAAAACTCTGTCTCAAAAGAAAAAAAAAAAAAAAAAAAGAATGCACCCCTGTTAAACTTGATTTTCTTGGTTTCAGGCCATCCTTCTGGGTCCTTTTGAGAGCTGTTTGGATCTCAATGTGATCATCTGGGGAATGCGCTATCTTCTCATTTGTGGCGTCTGAAATAGGATAAGCATGTGCTTCTTGTCTTCATCCAAGAAGTAAGAGAAAATGAGAAACAAGACAGGACCAGGGCAGAGTTTCAGGACCAGAGACTGTCCTACAGGTGCAGCTTATCAAACTCCTTCCTTCCTCTCAATGGACTTTGCCTATGCTTAGCTTCCAGCAGTTCTTTAACAGAGGCAGGCGCGAGAACCCAGAGCTGCTGGGAGCAGGCAGGATGAACTTGGACGTTCGAGTAAAAAGGCAGGTGGGGAGAGGGTATGAAGGCAAAGCAGAGAACCAGGCCATGACTGGGGCCGGGGAACCAGGCAGTCACCAGGGCATCCAGAGCCTCCAAGTCAACAGGGAAGTAGTTCACCCAAAATATATAGGCAGTGACAGGATAGATCAATGGTGGCATAAGTCCTGGTGCTAGAGTCATTGTGGAGGCAAATGTCCAGGGCACATGCTGTGGCCCTTCTTGCAGCACTGAGTGCCGCACAGTGAACATGGCTATTCTGAGACATGGTACCTAGCACCAGCAAAGGCTGCTCTGAGAGGACCTGCACCAGCTCCCAGCCACATGACTTCCTCAGCTCCAGGCTGAAAACCATCTGTTTCATAATCCACTCAACAGTCCTGCTTTGGATTCACCCTTCTACAATGGTAAAAATCTGTCTTTGTGCCCTTTGGAATCTCTCCAAGGAATGCCAACTACACTTGACTGGCATAACTCTTCTCATGCTGGCATAAACTGTATCTAGGCTCAAAAGCTGGACTCATGGACGATGTAAAACAAAGGCTATGAACAGTCCACTCTGAGGATGTAAGACCCCGATGGCATTTTTTTCCCTCTTGTTTCCAGTTGGAAGGTCATCCTCCTCAAGGGAACAAGGGTGGACACACAGTAGCTGCGTCTAGTAACTCCGTGCCACCTTCCTGGCCCTTTCCTGCTTCTTGATTGTTGATTGCCAGATGAGTGACAAATCTCAGCCCCTAGGCCTTAGCAGTCTCCAAAGTGAATCTACACATGCCTTGGCTGCCTGAGGATTTGATATGGTCAGCAGTGGTCAGGTCACCACCTCCCCACATACACGAGTCCTTGATGACCCACGCAGGCCTCATGTTCCTCATCCTCTATGGTCACCGTGATAGTAGTTTCTTGCAGCCACAGAGCTCTGCTCCCCTTAGTGACTTTCACTCTGTCGCCGAGGCTGGAGTGCAGTGACACGATCTTGGCTCCATTGCAACCTCCACCTCCTGGGTTTGAGCAATTCTCCTGTCTCAGCCTCCTGAGTATCTTGGATTACAGGTGCCCACCACCATGCCTAGCTAATTTTTGTATTTTTAGTAGAAACGGGGTTTCTCCATATTGGCAAGGCTAGTCTTGAACTCCTGACTTAAAGTGATCGGCCTGCTTTGGCCTCCCAAAGTGCTGGGATTACAGGTGTGAGCCACCATGCTCAGCACTTTTGTAGCTTTCCACATACGCAGCCCATGTCTCCCTGAGAGCTGGAATGTGCTTTCCTAAAGCCTAGGAACCCTCCTGAGATGGCTTCCTCCCTGCCAGTCCTGGTTTCCCTCAGAACGCCCAGGAGTCCCGTGTAAGAAGCATGAGACTTGGAGCCAGGTAGATGGGGTCCCAACCCCGGTTGGTCAATTCCTAGCTGGTCATTAACCTCTCTAACCTTGGACTCCTGCTATGCAAAATAGGAAGAATGTGTTATTAATATAAACACTGTGAGCCTCCTGTGATGAGCACCACTGTTGTGTCCATTCCACATCTGCAATGCTTTGTCTGTATCTAGGGAAGTGATTTCCCTTTTCTTTTCTTTTTTGAGTGCAATGGCGCGATCCTGGCTCACTGCAACCTCCGCCTCCTGGGTTCAGGCAATTCTCCTGCCTCAGCCACCTGAGTAGCTGGGATTACAGGCACGTGCCACCATGCCCAGCTAATTTTTTGCATTTTTTAGTAGAGATGGGGTTTAACCATGTTGACCAGGATGGTCTCGATCTCTTGACCTCGTGATCCACCCACCTCGGCCTCCCAAAGTGCTGGGATTACAGGCTTGAGCCACCGCGCCCGGCCATGATTTCCCTTTTCACCTCCTTCTTTTGCTAAGAAGGGAAGTAGACCATTTCACCAGAACAACTCTCCCTGGCTGTTTGGAAACTGAGCTCTGTCACCCATCTGGGCTCTGGGCCTGCTCTGTGATCTGCCCCAGGAAAGTACCATCTCACCATTCCTGGGGGACCACAAGGAACAACTTTCGTTCCTCCCTTTTTTAGCCCTGCCTGACACTCTCCCCAGCACTTCCATCCCTAGCTTCTGACTTTCCTCCTGACAGGAAGGGCAGCTCCCCTCTGTCCCCCATAGACTGGCTCCTTTCAAAGGCTGGCGCTCCACTTGCTCAGCCCCAGGCACACTGGTGAGATCCTGTACTCCTTACACAGCCACCTTGCAGTCACTGGGTCTTCTCTGAGCTTTAACCAGGACTCCATGACTACTCCTGACTCCACCCTGCTGTTTCCCTCTGTGGCCTGTGGAAGTCCTCTCTCTTTTCCACAGATCAGGGCCATGGTCTCACTCACACGTGCCCCTGTGCCCTCTCTCCCACCCACACAAACCTAGGATGGCGAGCACGGTGCCACCCTTGAGCACCTCCATGGAGCCAGAGCAGACAAAGTAGAGGGCCTGCAGGGCATCGCCTTGGTGGATGAGATACTCGCCCGGCGTGCAGAAGGCGGGCCGTAGGGCCAGGGACAGCGCCCGCAGGCAGCCGCGGCTGGCTGCCTCGAATAGCGGCAGCTGCAGGACCTCCTTGTGCAGGTGCATGGCGATATCTGCGCGCAGCTCATCAGGGAGGCTCTGCAGCAGCTGTGGGCAAGCAAGTGAGGGGTGGGGGTGGGGGTTGGGGGTGGCAGAAGAGGAGGTATCTTCCAGCCAGCCCCTCTCCACCCTGGCAGGCCTCAGGAACAGAGGAGGCATGGGAGGGAGGGACCTGAGCCCTCTCACAACTCCAAGCTCCTCACACGGCAGGTATCGAGGAGGCTTCCTCCACCTCCCTCTCAATCACTTTAGCTGCCATGAGCAGCCCAGCTTCCCACCTTAGTGACCACTAAGCCCCCAGACCTAACTGGGGTTCAGAGGCCCCTCCAAGCCTTCTTGGCTGCCCTCTGTCCCATGCCATTGCCCGCAAGAGAGAAGGAAGGCTCAGGGGCCAAGTTCTGCATTCTTCATCCTCCACTACTGATACTTCTAGCCCACTGCAAAGCCCTTGAGGGAGCACAGGCTAGGAAGCCCAGCCTCGGAGGCCGCACCTCAGTGGTGTCGATGCCGTTGTTCACGGCCCAGGTGGCCTGGAAGTACTCCAGCATGCGCTGTTTTAAGGGTTTGGGGATCCGGTGGATGCGGATGTAGTCGCGCAGATCGCGCGTGCGGCTGTGGTACAGAAAGCGGCGGGCGTACATGCGCTGGATGATGGCCGTCACGTTCCCAAACACCACCGCGTGCATCAGGGCTGGGGGAGGGTGGCGAGAGGGGGTCACCTAGGGACCTGGCCCGGCCTGACACCACGCTGGGCTCATCTGTCCCTGGTCCCGCACGCTCCTAGGCAAAGCCCGCGGGCCGCCGTGTGGGCGGAGTCTTCCCCAGCCCGGGCCTCGGGTTCCGCGGCCACCTGAAGCGGAAGAGCCCCCGGCCTCGGGCTCCCCGGGGTTGGGGGGGTGATGGGAGGGCGCCGCCTACCGGCGGAAGTCTGGGAATGGCCCCGGGAAGGCGCGCGCGGCCGAGCTCACCGCCGATAAGCATGGTGCAGATGGAGAAGATCTTCTCGGTGTCCGTGTTGGCGGACACGTTGCCGAAGCCCACGCTGGTAAGGCTGCTGAGCGCGAAGTAGAGGGAGGTGATGTAGGCGCTGCGCAGCGACGGGCCGCCCAGCAGCTCCAGCCCGGTCCCGTTGGCCTCACTGCTGCTGCTGCTGCTGCTGCAGTTGTCACTCTGGCTGGAGCTGTTCCCTCCAGCTGGGCTCCGGCCCACCAGGTAGTAGGGGGTTTCCAGTCGGCGGGCCAGCTCCTGCAGCCAGCCTAAGTGGGGAACAGGAGGGCTTGAGCAGGCAGGAAGACACGACTGCACTGTGGGTGAGGATGCGGGCCCGGGGGTGGGGACACGCAGACACAGCCCCAGCCCCATGGCTTCCTGCTGCTTTGCCCCTTTGCTGGCAGCCCAGCACACCCCTCTCCACCCCCTCAGCCCTCAGAAGAGCTGAGGGCTGTCATTTCCCCAGCCAGCTCCTGTTGGCACTGAGGATGACACAGGGAATTCACACCCTCCCCACTAGGGTTGGCGCCCATCCCAGGTAACGGGCCCAGTCGGAGGGCCTGGCTGGCGTGGGCCAAAGGACTGGGATGTCCACTGCATTCACCCACAGCCTCATCCCCAAAGATGGATGGTGAAGCCACCTCCACCCTCACCTCCACCTGTCTACCCAGACTCTCTTCCTGCCTTTCTCCGAGTTCATCCGCTCCAGAAAGCCCTCCCTCCCCTCCCGTTTCAGCTCAGCCCTCCCTACAGCCACACAAACCACTCAGCCTCACACACAAGTTCCAAGCATGTCTGCATGGACAGGCACACACACTGCTAAGGCAACGCGTGTGCCCCACACAATCGAGAAGACACACGTGTGCCCCTTATAGGTGCCTGCCACAGCCACTCACACTGAAAAGGCCTGTGCACCCTTGGGAAAGGGTCAAAGGCACACTGGTGCCTACACACTGTCACACGGGGGGGGGGGGTGGAGACACTTTCGTGGACACGAGCACACAGGTGAATATATTCACACAGGTGTGCACATGTGTGCACACACACACACACAGTCACAGGCCAGACTTGGCCATGGGGCAGAGGCTGGATTGCCCCGCAGCCCGACATTCTCCACCTGGCCTTGGCGCAGAGTAGGACTGTGCACTGAGGTCTCTCCTGAGCCCGTGAGCTGGGAGTCACTCTTGAGCCTAGCTGGAGAGTTGCAGGAGCTCTAGGGTGTTGGGTGGGGGGGTCCCAGGGTCCGCAGAGGTCCTGGCAGAGCTGGGGGCCACGGAGTGCAAGGGAGAGAGGGCAGACTGGCTGATCTAGAATGGTGAGGCAGAGGGTATGTGTGGCTGTGGCTCAGGGTCATAGGCTGCAGTGAGACCCCACTCTCCACTTGTGCTCTGCCCCTCCCACCTCAGCTCAGACCCTCTACTTCACACTCTCCCCAACACCTTAGGCATGTGGGTCCCTGTGGTCCCACACGCTTGCCATCCACCCACTCATTCATTCAGCAACCTTGCACACTGTGTGCCAGGAGCTGGGGTCCCACAGGAGCTCCCTGAGGGCTCCAGTTCAGAAAGGCAGATGATTTAGAGCCAGAGCTGCATCTCAGAGGGGTCACACAGCAGGAAGGGACGGGGGCTTGAACTAAGTCCCATGGGCTAGGGCTAGAAAGTTTCTGGAAGAAGGGACATTTGTGTTTGGTTTCAAAGGGTAGTTAGCGTTTGATATAAATAAACCCAGGGGATCAGTCCTGGTGGAGGGACAGGCATGAGTCAAACCTGGAGACTGAGATTTTAAGACAAGTACAGGCAAATAGCTCAGTTTGGCTAGAATGTGGGGTTAACACCAAGGGCATCAAATTCCAGGCTAAAGAACTTGGGGGGGGTGTAGTAAGGCCTGTACCAAGGTGGGGGCTCACCCTCCTGTGGTCTGAGGTGTGCCATAAGAATGCAATGGACTCCTGAGAGCTAGACTGAAGTGACAGTTGAAAAAATAAATATAAAGCAATGGAGTACATGGTTGGGTGCAGTGGCTCACACCTGTAATCCCAGCACTTTGGGAGGCTGAGGCGGGTAGATCACAAGGTCAGGAGTTTGAGACCAGCCTGGCCAACATGGTGAAACCCATCTCTACTAAAATTAAAATTAGCCTGGCATGATGACACGTCTGTAATCTCAGCTACTCAGGAGGCTGAGGCAGGACAATTGCTTGAACCTGGGAGACAGAGGTCGCAGTGAGCTGAGATCAAGACGCTGTACTCCAGACTGGGCGACAGAGCAAGACTCTGTCTCAAAAAAACAAACAAACAAACAAAAACAATGCAATGGAGTACATAAAACTCCTCTTCATGGTCATTGTTCAGTTGGCCTCTGAGGGTAAAGCCACCCAAAGCCAGATGCCCAGGATAGGGAAGGTGGAGAGAAGCAGTAGGACACAGGGGAGGGTAGCAAGGAGGCCTCTGATCTTTCAGTCTTGGCCAAGACTGAAAGATCAGCAGCCCCTGAAGCTAGGGCCAGGATGGTGACTCCAGGTGGGCTGGGTCAGGCCAGCAGAAGCTGTCCCAGAGGCTGGGGGCTCACACACTGAGGAGTGCCCTGAATTTTCTTCCTCAGTGCTCAGCATAGTCTTTTGAACATCCAGCCCACCTCCACTGGCCTAGTGGGAATCTGGGGAAGGAACTCTGTCCACAGCATGGGCATTGGAAAAGGAAACCCAGGCAAGGAAGGCATGAAGAAGGAGCCACCCACCAGACAGAACTGGGCCAGCCGCCTACCTACCCACCTCAGCCTCACCTCCCCCTACAAGGAGCTCTCCTGCCAGGGCTGGAGTTGGAGAGGTCTGGGTTTGGTGCCAACCTGGTTAGGGGGCAGTTTCCCTGGAGAAAGAGAGGAGATGATGATGTGAAGAACTTGTAAAGTCTCTAAACATAGACTAGTACCAGCTCCAAATGGAATGAAGCCACCTGGAACTCAGGGGTCACAGGTGAAAGAATACCATGTGTATCTGCAAGGGTCAACCCACCCTTGCCCACCCTGTGGGGTCCAGAGGCCCTTGGGACCTAGAGGTGTTCTTAATGTCAGATCAGCAACCCCTGTGAGGTGGCTGGAAGAGAGGAGCCTCATGGACACAAGACCAAAAGTATCTGGGTCCCATTTTAGGGGGCGGGAGGGGACCTGGGGATCTGTGTCTCAGCCCACTTCGGGGTGGTGGAGACAGGCTTTGTTTCACCACTGTCCATCTGCTGGCCCTCTGACTGTTTGCCATGTGGCTGTCTGACCCCAGAGCAGCCGCTACCACAGGCTTCCTCTGGGAATGGCAGGCACCAAGGAGCTGACACTGCCTGGAGTGTCCTGGTTTCCACCTGCTCAGCAGATAGAGCACTCGGGCAAAATTTCAAGTGGGCCCTCTGTGATACACAGAGGGCCTCCCGAGAGCTTGCAGAGGGAGAGGGGATTCACAGGAGTCTCATAGTTCCCAGGGAACTGATCAGAGTGGGTTTCTAATGCTGACCTGGACACCTCGTAACTCCGCCAAGAAGCAGTCATAAGAAGCCATGTGCACCTGGAACCCCGGCTAAATGTCAGTTACCTGGAAGCTGATAGAGGACTAGAGGGCTGGGGAGGAAGAAGGCAAGTTTGATTTTAGATTTGAGGAGGCTTGAGAGTTAGAAATGGCTGGAATGGAATGGTTTGGCTAGAGAAAGGATGGAAGTGGAGATGCTCAAGCAGTGGTGTCAGTGCAGTGGCCGAGGGAAAGTGAGGTGAAGGGGGAGAGCTATAAGGAAAGCCAGTCTGGAGACCCTGAAACTTAGAGGGGCTGGGAGGAGGCCAGCCAGGGGCTCCATCACCCACAGCTGAGAGGAACTGTGGTTGGCTGGGTCAGGTGATACAGGGACTTCAAGGAGGATAAGGGTTTGGCCCCAGAAGGTCACTGTGACCTTCTGGGTGACATGTTGGGTGCAGAGGTGGGAGTGGAAGCCCTCCCAGCAGGAGTTAAGATGTGAGTGGGTGGTGAACAGAGGGAGGAGCTGTGGAAGGAGAAGTGACATGAAGGAGAGTGAAGATGCAGAAAGGCTGCTTTTTAGGCTGGGGAAGAGCAGAGCTGCAGCAGGGAAAAATGTGGACTGCAGGTGACAAGAGAAAGGCAGGGGCCTTGGATGCCAAGGTGGTGGGGACAAGTTTCAGAGAGGATGCAGGGGGAGGGGCAGGGAACACTGGGCATCAGAGGAACCCTGGAGGGCAGTGGCTCCCAGCTTGGCCCTCCCAGTGGGACAGGGTTTAAGGAATGTGACCCACATTTGGCCACAGGAGGCCTGGATGGGTGACTGGGACTTCTTGGGCTTTCTTCACAAGGCCCAGCTGCTGGAGAACAGGCCTGTCATGTGCTGGTGGCTGTCATACTCATACCTGCACACCCTCTTCTCTGATTTGTATACATGCAGACTTGCACAGGTCCCTGACACCACACATCTGCACACACACTTGCACTCACACTCCTCTGACACGGTTGCACAACCCCCTCCCCACCACATGCACAAGGACCCTCCAGTACCAATCTCAGGCAGCTCCGATTCGCTGCTCTCGATCTCCCGCTGACCAATGTAAAACCAGATGCAGGCCACCCAGTGTGCGAGCAGGGCAAACACGGCCATGAGCAGTGTCAGCACTACAGCACTGTACTGTGAGTACCGGTCCAGCCTCGGGAGCAGGCGCAGGAGGCGCAGCAGGCGCACAGTCTTCAGCAGGTGGGCCCCGAAGTACTGAGATTCAGGGAGGGAGGGAGGGAGGGAGGTCAGCCAGGCTAGCCCTCCCTGTCCTCCCGCAAAGCCCACCCACCCAGCCAGCCCAGCCACACTGACCACGTTGACCTTGAAGGCATGTAGCAAGTCAAAGGGCAGCGCCGCGATGACATCCAGCAGGAACCAGGTGGTAATGTAGTGGAGGCAAATGGACTTTGGGGCAAACACCACTTGGCCCGACTTGGACACGAATGTGGTACGGAAATTCAGCACAATGTCTGTGGGGATCCAGGTGGGAGTCAGCACGGGGGCAGGGGGGCAGCCACTCTCGACTAGACACTGCTCCCTTTCTCCGTAGTTGACACTGTCCCCGGCCCTTTCCATACATCATCTGGCTTAGTTCTCACAGTAACTGTAACAGGGAGACAGCGTTTTGCCTGTTTTACAAAGGAGGAATCTATTTTATGGAGGCCCAGAGAGCTTTCACCAGCTCAGGGTCCTATAACTTGTAAGTGGCAGATGTTTAGAACCTAGGTCTGATTTCAAAGCTCACAGTTTACAAACACAAGAGGGTGAGGGGGGTACTGTAGGACCCTGGAAGCCATGTGGACTATCCCCAGCAAAGCCCGTGGGCGCCGGCAGAGGGTGGGGTAGAAGGGGCAGGGTGCACGCACCAAGGATGAAGAGGACCTCCACGGCCAGGTCACAAACGCTGGGCGGGCCTCGGGCAGCACTGGGCTCCCGTGCTGTGCTCACACACACGCTGTAGGGCACGGTGACAGCCACATAGAGTGTGGCAAGCAGGATGAAGCCGTCCCAGGTGGCCCTTAGCGCCCCACAGTGCAACAGGATGAAGGGCGACTTCCGGATGGCGGCTACTTTGTACTCAGGCAAGTTTGGCTTCTCCCCAAACACCCCCTAGTGAGGCAGGGCAGGCCCAGGCAGAGAGGAAAGGATATTGGCACAGGCTGAGTTTGGCTAGAGCCTAGAACCGGCATCCACCTCTTTTCTCTCCCTACATTCGCGAAGCAACATCTGCTGTGAGATGGCATCAGTGTCTCCATTTTACAGATTAGAAAACAGGATCAGGAAGGTTAAGTGACTTAGCTGAGGTCAGACAGCTGCTTAGGGGAGGAGCCAGGATTGAACCAAGGCCCATTTGACTCCCAGGCCACGACTTTCTTCTGTGTCTCTGATGGATCAGGCATGTGATCTTCCCTCCTTCAGTCCCACCCAACCCCCAAAGTGCTGGCAGGGCCTGGGTGGCCCCCAGGACATTTTCTCTGGTAAATCTGGTTCCCCTTCCCCGTCTCCTGTGTCTGCCCCTCCCCTCTCCCTTCAAACATAGGTCCCAGGGCCCAGCCCACCTTATTGAGCTTGTGCTTGCCCTTGGGCTGCTTCTGCAGATGCCCAGACAGGTGGTAGAGCACGGCCCGGCTCCGCCGCCGGTTGGCATTGAAGCCTTTGGATCGTGCCCGGCCATATCGACGCCGGCCACCACCTGCAAAAGAAGAGGGGCCCATGAAGATGATGGGTAGGTGCCCATACACCCTAGCCCTGGGTTGGGTGTAGGACACAGTTGCCAGCCCAGGGACTGGTCTGGCTCATTGACCATTTAGACTGTTTAGAGTTGGGGGCTCAGGTATTCCTCACTTCCTGGGTTCACTTGCCCAGCCCAGCAATGGGCAGTCCTAGGAGTGCTGACAGACAATACCTTTGGGGTCTGCTTCCAGGAAGAGGAGGTTTGGACCAGGGATCTCTACGGGAAAGGCCTGGGACAGGAAGCGAGGAGGTAGCTCACAGGGGCAGGGTGAACTAGCAGGAGGTCATCAGCAGAGGGGTGGGAACTTGGAGCAGCAGCCCAGGATCTAGTGCAGGGACCAGAGGGTGACTGAAGGCTGACATCATGGAGAGGCAGACCCAGCACTGGGAATGGGGGAGTGGGAATGGAGAGTCCCCCCGCATCCCGAAATGGCAAAGAGGCCTTAACAGCTTTGTAACCTGCCCAAAGGCCTGCCCCAGCCCTTGGAGGACACAAGAGGGGAACAACTCGAAGATCTTAAAAGCAGGCTCTGGCCAGAGCTCCACCCCCAGTCAGGTTTGCTGTAGGGAAAGAACCTGGCAAGTCTGTGCTCAACCTTATTAACTGGTCAAAAAGTCAGGCTTCACAGGTACAATGGGGTTTGTTTGCTTTCAGTTTCTTAATAAAGTTGACTTAAAAACTCCAACTTTGTCTCAATCTATTTGGAAAAGATATTCCCATACTGAGGCATGTGGAGACGATAGCGGCACAGGCCTCTCAGGCAGCCTGAGTGGGAGTGAAATGAATGCAGGAGGCAGGGGGAACCCCCCCCATGCTCAGACTTGGTGCCAAGGCCCTGCCCAGGCCTGTGTTACCCAACACCCCAACCATAGCAGCTAAATGCACCTACCTGTCTCCTTCCATCTGTCAGGGCCCCCTCGGTTCTTGGTTTCACTGATGTCCTTGTGAGAGACCAGGAAGAGGGCCACCTCCCCTTTCTCATTCTTTATAGGTATCACATCCAGGAGACACCAGAATGGGAGCCCTGGACACAAAAACAAACTCAGCCCACCTCCCATTCTTGGCCCTGTCTAAGGTGACAGAGGTCCTGGCTCCACGACATTCTGGGCAAGACACAGGCAGGATCCAGTAGTTTCCTGGAGGAGGGGCTGGCAGTCCAGTCTCATTGAGGACAGGGTTTGATGGAATGGGGGGGCTTTGGGGGGCATGAGGCAAGGTAGAGTAAACAACTGTCAGATGTGCAGATGTGCTCTGCCAAAATGCAGATGTTTTTCTGTCGGATGCAGGAAACCCAAGGTTGGAACTGAATACAGGCTGAGGCTAGGGTGAGGCAGGTAGAGATGAGGAGCTGGAACTAGAGGGGTTGGAAGCGGGGCTGGGAGGATGGGAAGATGGGATGAGATGGAGAAGATGGCAACAGAAAGGAGGAGGGACAGTGGATGGGGCTGGTGCCAGGTTGGGTGAGACTGCAAAGGCAGTCTGGCTGGCCAGGTGGCCCCTCACCGCTCTTCCGGTACAGGATCAGCTCAGCCTTGAACTCCTTGTGTTCATCCAGGGCCTTGCGGATCTGTTGGCGGACGAGCTCACTGGTGTCTGGCCCATAAAGGAAGGAGCAGGCACAGCCCCGCTGCATGACCTCAGCCCGGGAGAAGCCCGTGAGGTCACAGAAGCCATCAGAGCAGTAGACCACGGGGAAGAGCCCCGCCACCTGGGCGTTGCCCAGCACGAAGTTACTGTCTGCAAGAAAGCACCTCTCAGAGGAGGTGGGTGAAGGGGCAGGAGGCCTACCACCTCTCCTTTCCCAAATGCCTGCAACCAAAGACTGGGTTTTCCAAACCCCAGGAATCCTGTCTGTGTTAGGGCAAGGCTGTTTATGAATGGGAATCAGTGTGTGTCACCCGTGTGCCAGTGCCCTGCAGCAAGTGTGAGTACATTCAAGGATCAGCACGTGTGAACTGAGGTAGGTGAAAGAAGTGCTGTGTGGGCACTGTGCCCTCTGGAGAGTGTCCTGAGCAATGTGGGGTAAGGGCTGGGGTTGGGGATTCCCTAAGGAGGACTATACTGCCAGCTCTAGGCCAGCCTCAGCCCCACCTCTACTTCTGCCAGGCTCACTCACCAGCCAGGTACCCAGGTTGGCTGTCTGGCTCCTCCCACTGGGACTCACCTGGACTGGGAGGTAACCCCAGGCCACCATACATCCTGCCCTCTGTGTCTTAGCCCTGGCTGCCTGACCTGGCTCAGGAATTAGTGAATGTAAGCAAGAATGGGGGTGTAAGAATGGTGACTGAGCAAGGGAGCCTAGAGCCAGGAATGTATTGGGGAGTGGGGGGCACTGAATCAGCAGGCTGCAGGCGCCAAGCACACTGGCAAAGCAGATGGAGGAGCCCGGAGGGGGGAGAGCGCAGTGCTGGGCTCCCACCCCTATCAGGAACTGGAGACCAAGGAGGACCTAGGCAGAGAGCTGGGAAGCCCCAAGGAGGATGTGAGGGAGAGGAGGAGGGAGGGGCTTTCACCACTTCCCCGGAGTTCAGAGCCCCCAGAACCCAGGATCCAGAGCTCAGGGAGCCTTCTCCAAACTTCCCCAGTCCTGATGGGTGTCCCCAAACCATCTTCTTGGGGCTAGACCTGCTCCCAGGTCTAGGGGGTTCAGGCTATGAGATGGGCTTTGGACACACCATGCTCTCCCGAGTCCCGCCTACTCTATCTCCGTTTGCAAATCTCTTTTTAAAATCTGTTTTTTGAGCCCTCTCGGCCATCCCTGAGCACTGCTCACCCGCCTGGCCCTAACCTGCCAGTCCGAGGGTAGTTGCTGAGACAGCACCAGACGCAGGTGTGGGATGGGTCAGACTGACTAGGTTCGGGTTTGAGACCCGCTAACAGAGAGCATCCCAGGGCCCACACTCAGGGACTTCTGGCCCTGTTGCCTCACCTGAAGCAGTGTTGACCCCAAACCTTGAACCTTCCGGGAAACGGCGCCTGGCAGGAGACAATGTCCCCAACCTCAAGAAGGGTGGGGAGGGAGGAAAGAGTGAAAACAGGCGGGCACTAGGCCGCGCTGCTGGGGGTTCGGGGCAGGCGGGAGCCCTGGCAAGAGTCCGGCGGCCCGGCTGCGAGTGGGTGAGGGTCGGACTCACGCGTGCCGTCGAAGCGCGTAGCGATGGTGTCCAGGAAGGTGTTTTGCGGCGCCAGGAGGCCCCGCATGGCCGGCATCTTAGGCGTCCGCGGCTTCCCGCCCCATCCCTCCGGGGTGCGGGGACTCCGCGCCGGGGGAGAGCGCCCAGCTCGGCTGCCCCCCGCCGGGCCCCACGCTCCCTAGCGCAGCCGTCGGGGGGCAATGCCCAGGCTGGGATCCCAGGTCGCGCCGGCCGCGGGCGCGCAAGGGGGCGTCCGCGCCGTCGGGGCCCGGAGCATGGCGCGCGGCCCCTAGCGCCCTCGCGGCCCACGAATCCTGGGCTCCAGGCTCCGCAGCCGCGGCGCTCTCTGCACGGGCAGCGGCTCCAGTGTCTGCTGCGGGTGGGCTCCCGCTCGGGCTCCGCTCGGCGCCGGCTCTCTGCAGCTCCCTCCGTCTGTCGGGGAGAAGCGGCAGCCTCCCTCCCACCCTCCCGCGCCCGCAGCCTGCACCGGGGTAACCATGGAGACGGGGCACACCCAGCCAGGGCCGCCTCCTTAAAGGGACAGGCCTCCCGCCGAGGGCTCCCCTCCCCTCGGGACCTCGGCGGGGGCGGGAAGGCAGCGGCCGCCGGGACCCCACCCCGCGGGCTTCCCCGCCCGGCCCTTGGAGAGCTACCTGCGAGAGCCCGGCCCGCTCCGGCAGACTTGGCCTCAGCCGCAGGGGCGAGGCATCTTTCTCTGCAGCCCAGGAGCTCTCCGAGAGCCTCCTAGAAGCCTCTCCTCCCCCGGCGGAACGGGAGGAGGGCTCCGGGCGGGAGCCACTGGCAGTGAAAGATCCTCTCCCCGAGGAAAATGCAGTGGGCAAGGGGACAGGGCGACAGGCGCAGGTGAAGGCCCGGCGGGCGGTGGAGGCTGGGGCTCTAGAGGGGGTCCAGCCGCACCCGGGAAATCTAAAAGCAGATTGGGGGGGGGGGTTCTGCGCACAGCTGCCGGGTACTCGAGCCTTTCTCATCCTCAACCTGACCCTCTGGAAAATGGATCCAGCTGCTCCTAAGAGGTGCCCCGCGAGCAGAAGCTGTCGGGAAACCAGAGAGTGGGTAGCCCTAAGAATACAGGTCAGGCGTCCTTCGTGTGACCCCGTGGGTGGAAAGGGTGTGCGGCGGGGAGCAGAACTTCAGACCCTTTGTCCTGCCCCTTCATTTCCCTCTGGTATTTGTCACCTTTTGCCTCTCCTAAGCGCGCTAGAGGGTTGGGTGGCAAATATAGGGGACCGACAGGGGTCAGATGCTGCGGAAAAACTTCCGAACCTTGTGCGTTCAGATCCCCGCACTAGGGGAGAGAGGAGGGCAGAGCCCCGCTCCTCACCCAGCTCAGTCCTGGAGAGCTCGGCGCGGGGAGCTGCCTGGAGGCGGCTGCAGGGAGCCCCTTCGTGGCGGGGCGGAGACCGACCCGGGGCGCCAGTCGCTTGCGGGCCTCCCGCGCTGCGACGGTCCCCCGGACTCGCCTGCCAGCGCCGCTCCTCCTCCCTCCCACGATTTGCCAGCGAGCGCGGCTGCCGCCCGCGCCCAGAGGAGCCGGCGGGGCCAAAACAGCAATTTGTTCCCTAACGAGCGAAACGGGAGCCTCAGCACCCCCATCCCTCGAGACGCACCCACAGTCGCCAGCATCGGAAAGAAAGGAGTGTTCCCCGTTCCACCTACCCCTCGTCAGCGGTGAGGGCTGAAGCCCCAGGCACCTGTATCTAAATGAGCTGGCGCTTCGGGAAGGGAGGACGCGCCCCCACTCCTCCAGTCCTGTGAAGCCTGGAATCTGGCCCCCAGGAGGAGTGACCCTAAGGAGCCGGCAGATCCTGCTCCCAACCCCACCCCCAGCCTTAGATGGATCCTGGCTGTAAAGAAATCCCCTCCACCAGCCGCTCAAGGCTTCCTCTCCAGGCGGCGGTCCAGCCATCTACTAAAAAGAGGGGCATTTTAGGAATCAGTTCACTTTGAGACAGGATAAGGCCACAGTTGAAATTACCCACAGACTTGGGAACCAGCTCTGCCACCTCCTGTACCTGTGATTAAAAAATGTTTTTAGCCGGGCGCGGTGGCTCACGCCTGTAATCCCAGCACTTTGGGAGGCCGAGGCGGGCGGATCACGAGATCAAGAGATCGAGACCATCCTGGTCAACATGGTGAAACCCCGTCTCTACTAAAAATAAAAAAATTAGCTCGGCATGGTGGCACGTGCCTGTAATCCCAGCTACTCAGGAGTCTGAGGCAGGAGAATTGCCTGAACCCAGGAGGCGGACGTTGCGGTGAGCTGAGATGGCGCCATTGCACTACAGCCTGGGTAACAAGAGCGAAACTCTGTCTCAAAAAAAAAAAAATAATAATAATAATGTTTTTAAAAATTTGGTTTTTTTTTTTTTTTTTTTGAAATGGAGTCTCACCCAGGCTGAAGTGCATTGGCTCAATCTCCGCTCACTGCAACCTCTGCCTCCTGGGTTCAAGCAAGTCTCCTGCCTCAGCCTCGAGAGTAGCTGGGACTACAGGCGTAAGCCACCATGCCCAGCTAAGTTTTGTATTTTTAGTAGAGACGGGGTTTCACCACGTTGGCCAAGCTGGTCTCCAACTCCCGACCTCAGGTGATCCACCTGCCTCGGCCTCCCAAAGTGCTAGGATTACAGGCGTGAGCCACCACACCTGACCTGTCTGTGTGATGTTTAAAGGCAAGTTATTAACCCTTCTGTGACTCAAGTTTTCTCATCTGTAAAATATGGGTGCCAATAATAACACTGGAGGATGGTAATGAGGATTCAATAAGTCAATATGTTTAGAGGACCTAGAACAGTGTGTGACACCTGCAATGTGTAAATGTTTGTTATTATCTGATTTTGAGTCTCCTAGGAGCCCTGTGAAACAGCCAGGGTGGGTGCTCCTTATGCTCCATTTCACAAAGGAAGAGCCAGAGCCAGAGCCTTCTCAGAGAGAGAGAGAGACAGAGAGAGAGAAAGAGAGAGAGAGAGAGAGGAGAGAGAGAGAGAGAGGGGAGAGAGAGAGAGATAGATAGAGAGAGAGAGAGAGAGAGAGAGAGAGAGATATTGAGAGAGGAAGAGAGAGACTTGCTCAAGGTAACAGAGTTGGCAAATGACATAGCCAGAGTTCTAACCCTGAGAGTCTCCCAGCCCTAGGTTGTTGGGTCTGCCTCTCTCTAGCCTGTGTGTGTGGGCATTCAGAGGACTGCTCATCTGGGCTTGGGCAGCACGTCTGGGTGGTCCTACACTTATCCCTGTAAAGCCAAAGTGTTTAGACTGTCAGGCTTCCAGCTCACCTGCCTGGGCTGGTTTTGGGCATTAAGCCAAACCAGACACCTTGGGTTAGGGTGAGCACTTTGTTAGATGGAATGTATGGGCTGCCCCTGAGGATTACAGCAGCTTACACTTATTGAGCATTAACCATGCAAAGTGCTTTACTTGGATTATCCTGTTAATATTCATAATAGCTCTATGAGCTAGTTACTGCTACAACTGCCAATTCACAGATGAAAAACTTAGGGCAGAGAAGTCAAGTCCCTAGTCTGAGATGCACTGCCTCCTCCAGCAGCTCCAGGCACAAATGCCCATGTCATCCTTTGGTGCCCTGGTTCCCACTTCCAGGAGAAGAAAATATACTCATATTTATGGAATGTTATTATCATTCTTATTGCAGAGTGAAAAGTCAAAGGCCTGTTTGGACCTTTAAACCCCTTCCCCCATTGCCCCTCAAAGAACTCATGTGAATGTGTACTGGGTGGAGGTGCCACCACCGACCCTTTCTCTTATCTGGCCTTTCTGTTTTAGATGAGCATGATGAGCAAAGGATCTCAGCTCACTGTCCTCTCTCTTCACCTTTACCCAGTACCTCAGATCTTCCTGCCAGACCTGGCTTTTGTTTGTATGTGTTCCCTCAGCAATTAGTTACTAATTCCCTTTTTTCTCCTATTCTTTTTTTAAAAAAAATTTTTTGTTTTTTCTCTTTTATTCTTTTAAGTCCCTATCTTTTCCTTCCACCTTCCCTCCAACTCCCAACGCACGCGAACAAAGGGCAGGGACCCACATTTAGGAGACAGTAAGATGGGGATTGGGGAGTTGAAAATTAAGCAGGGACCTGGGAGATGGGCACCACAGTCCTCCTCACTGTAACTCCTTTTCCTCTCCCCTTCTGCCAGCTCTTGACTCATTTGGCACCGTGGGGAGTCACAGGGAGGGGAAGGTTGAGGAGGATCCCTGTTCAGAGATGCTCAAAGCCTCTGTCAACAAGAAGAAACTCAGGAGGCAGCATTTTGGAGCTGCTGTGGGAGGCCTGTGGGAGTATTAGCTACAAAAAGGAATAAGGAGACAGAGTAGGGAAGTGCAAAGCAAGGAAAAAAACGGCTCAAGACACAAAGGAAGGAAAAAGCCCCCACCCCCCAACCACAAACCACAAAGCGCAGGCGGAGTCAGACTATGTATTCAGGGAGTGGGAACAGGCGGCTGTCGAGGAACAGAGCCCAGGGCCCCTCCCCCTTCCCCACCCTCTTCCCACTCTCTCTACCTTTCTCTCAAGAGGTCCCCAGGCCTGTTCTCCAAGCCTAGCTCTCAGCCAGCATGGCCAGGCTCTTCTTCTAAGGTTGGGCTGTATGGTGAAAAATCTTGGGCTTTCAAGTCAGACTAGTTAGGGTTCCAATCTGGCTCTGCCACTGGCCAGCTGGGAGACCTGGAGTGGCCAGAGAGGTACTTTGTCTTGCAGAGCATCTGGTCTTTTGATTTGTGAAAGGAACATTAGCCAGCTGTTATTTTTAAAAAGCCCTGGCCCAGCTTCACCAACATGGTGAAACCCCATCTCTACTAAAAATACAAAAATTAGCAGGGCATGGTGGCACATGCCTGTAGTCCCAGCTACTCAGGAGGCTGAAGCAGGAGAGTCTCTTGAACCAAGGAGGCAGAGATTGCAGTAAGCTAAGATTGTGCTACTGCACTCCAGCCTGGGTGACACAGCCAGACTCTGTCTCAACAACAACAACAACTCCCTGGCTCTCAGGGCTGGGACCAGGGAAATGAGCTCAGGATGGAACCTCAGGGGTTCCCCCTCCCCACCAAAACACAAAACATTTTGGAAGTCTTTTAGCCTCCCCTACTTGGCCACACCTTGGCTGTCTCATTCTAGGCTATTCCTTTTCTTTTATTGGAAGACACTAGCAAGAGTGGGCACAGACCACAATCAACTTTCTTTTTTTCTATTTATTTTTTGAGACGGAGTCTTGCTCTTGTGGCCCAGGATGGAGTATAGTGGCATGATTTCAGCTCACTGCAACCTCTGCCTCCTGGGTTCAAACAATTAGCTTGCCTCAGCCTCCCAAGCAGCTTGGATTACAGGTGCATGCCACCACGCCCAGCTAATCTTTAAATTTTTAGTAGAGCTGGGGTTTCACCATGTTGGCCATGCTGGTCTCGAACTCCTGACCTCAGGTGATCCGTCTGCCTCAGCCTCCCAAAGTGCTGGGATTATACGTGTGAGCCACTGTGCCCAGCTCACAATCAACTTTCAAACAAGGGAATCCTGGGAGGCACATGGTTGCATTTACAGAGAAAGAAACTGGCTCATATTGCTTGGCTAGTAAGAATAATCAGGTGTGAACCGAGATTTGACTAGGGGGACAGCCATTCAGCACTGCGTCATGCTGCAGGGGGCACTTTGTCCTCTCCTTTGGTAAACAGCCTACGAAAAGGGAACAGCATGGTCATTTTGACAGATGGTCAGTGACCTATAGTGAGTGTCCATTGTGAACACACCTGGACTTCATGCCAGGTGAGACACTACAGTTAACAGCAGACCCCACAGGGAAGGGGCCGACACAGCCCTGCGGGAGCTGGCCAGGGAGTATATGCCTGGCCTCCTGAGAAATCTCATCCTCTCAATCTGTGTGTTCTAGCAGCACCAGAAAACAGGTGTGTTTGAAATGAAGTTATAGAGAAAGCCTAACTTGGTTAAGCTGAAGAGACATAAAAAGGAGACCTGACTTTTCTCTAAGGAATCAGAGTGGGTGGTATTTGTTCCTGCTGTTTTGACAGTA